GTCATTGAATTTTATGGCTTCACAGTAGGTGAAGCTGGGTTATTCCCACCTAGTCAGATGGCCTTTGCCAGTAGCTAGGTAATTGTAAAACAACCAACATTTATGTGATGCTGGCTGACACTCTTATAAGCACCTCGCATATGCTCATTTTATCATCACAGTAGTCCTGTGATGTAGGAACCATTGTCATGCTCATTTCTCAGATGAGGAAGTTGAGGCACAGAGTGTTTTAATAACTTGTCCAAGGCCCTGTAGCTTCTGGACTTGAGTCCAGGCAGTCTGCTCTTAAGGTTTTCCCTCAACCTTTGCTATTGCCTTTCAGCTAGATGTGGAGAAATAATTGTCAGCAAGAGGTTTAGCTGGACAAAGGGGTGGGAGAGGGTAGGTTTTGGTGTGGAATATGGAAGATTACTTTTGAGATACAATGGGAAAATAGTAGAAACAGTTTATTGTCTGTTGGTTGATGGTGAAGGAGAATGAGAAATTAAAGGAGATTTCTTAAAAAATTCAGGAATGACCCCTAGCTCTGTTCAGCTATCTGCTGGTTGCTTCCCTATGGTTAACTTGAGCTCACTGCCTTGAGTTTTGTGATTATAGTGAGGCAACGTGCTAATGTCCATGCCACACACACTGAAGATCATCACCTCAAAGGCAGTTCACAATCGGGCTCTCTACTTCAGGGCTTTCCCTCCTCCTCTCTTCATTACTGGACTCACGAGGTGGTGGGGAGATTACCATGAGCTCCTTCTTAGGGAATCAGCAGTTCCTGTCTTCAGTGCCATTCACTCCCCTCGTTTCTTACCTGTCTTTTCATCCTGATCGTTTTCATCTGGCTCTCCTGCACATCCCCAAGGTGATGACTTATTTTTTTATATTTCTGACCTGATTTCTAGTTTTCATTTATTCCCACTTGTCTCTGAGGCCTTTGTATAGCTCAGGTTTGAGTCAGAAGACCCAGACAGTTCCGCCCACATTCCTGACTGGCTGTGTTACCTAAGATGCTAAACCTGAGGTTTCTTTATCTTGATCACACCTGCCCCATCTACCTCACAGGGTTGTGGTGAGGGTCAAATAAAGTAAATTCATGAGAGTGTCTTTTAAAACATGAATGTATAGCATTATTAATATTCCCAACCTCCCCGCGTGGCCTTGTCCATTTCCTGCTTTGATGCCCTGCATGAGCTTCCGTCTGGTGTCTTTTCTGGTGCTTGTTTGTTTACCTGTGTACCCTTGATGGCTCTGTGTCTTATTCTCTTTGAATTTCCTAGCACTTGGCACAGGGCTAGTTGGCATGGGGAGGGGCTCAGTAACGTTTGAATGAATGGGTGAAGAAATGTCTGTCTAAAGGAAGTTTGTGGTCGTAGTCTTTTTTTTTTTCTGAACAAAGTCTTCCTAGTATATCTCTGTGCTTATTGAAGTTAGCCTTGTTAAAAAGCAGCCCTTTGATGCTTTCTTGTGTTCCCTTTTGCGGGATACTAAATTACACTGCCTATGGTTGCCTTCCCCAAGATCTATGCTTACTTTAAAAATATTTATCTGATGAGACTTGTTTTTTAAAAGTAAGACAAATCAAGGAGTCATTCTAGATTTTGAATTAGAGAAATAAAATGTTTGATATTTATTTTTTGTTTATTCATTTAACAAATATGCGTTAAGTACCTTTTGGGTACCAAACTCTGTTTCTGGGGCTGGGAATACCATAGTGAACACAACAGATGCTATTCCTGCCCTTATGCAGCTTCTAGTGGAGTGCTGATCAATGAAGAAGTAAATGAATAAGATAATTTCAATTAATCTTAAGTGCTGTAGGGGGGAGTCATGTGAAGAGGACTCCCAGACCAATAAGGAGTTCTTACACTTGTAAATAAACTGAGTACTTTACAGAGGTTGTGCTCTTAGTTTCACTGTGTATCAGGTTACCTTGAATGTGTCTAATTGTTTTGTTAGTGAGTAGTTTAAGCTCAGCACCATCCATGTCTCATCCACAAGAAAGATAGTGAATAGCTGAGGAAGAAGGTGGCTGTTACCTGGACTTTTGGCTTCATGAGAGCATCTCAGTCTATAGGAGGGCTGCTCAACCTTGACAAGGACCATCTTTGTTCAGGTTGCTGATATTTAAGTGTCTCTGCAGGACCAAGGGAGGCCCAGGGAAGATGGGGGACTTGTTGATTGCCCAGTGACCTTTGTGTGCCATCTTGCTGCATCAGTGTGCTCACATCCTTGATGCCAGGGAAATTCTGTGTCTCAGGCCCATTCACTGGTGAGCAGTCAGGTGACCATCTGTCACGGAGTCTAAATGAAGAAAGCAGGGTGATATGATGAAATGTGAAGAGGGACATACGGGGACACCTTTAGATTTCTTTGATGTGTGATCCCAGTTCTGAGGGATGAGAAGGAATGAGCTGTATGAAGATCTAGGGGTGGCGGCAACATACTAGAGATGCCCCGAGTGGGGAACACATTTGGGAAGTTTGGGGAATGGAAATAAGCCACAGCGCTTGGAGTGTAGGACGTGAAGGAGAGAGTAGTGTGAAATGAGGTTGGTGTGGAATGGAGGAAATCATGCGGGGCCTTGCAGGCCGTGGTGAAATCTTTGCATCTTATTTTAAGTACTATTGGAGGCTGTTGAGAGGTTTTGAGTAAAGGAATGATCTGATTTGATTTACATTATTAAATTTTTCTGTTGACTGCAGTGTGGAGAATGGACTGCGGAGGGGAGGAGTGAAAGCAGGGAGCCCAGGCAGCGGACGTGGTTGCGGCCTGGGTGAGGATTCATGGCAACGTATGCCAGGCAGGGCTGTGGAGGGTGAGAAGTGGCCCAGGGCTAGAACATGATGGGACTGACACACCACAGATGGGTTGTGAAGGCAGGAGAAGAACCTGGGATGACATCTAGGTTTTGCCTTGAGCAGCTGGATGGATGGTGGTGCCTGAAGGAAGAATAGAATTTGAGGGGAAGAACAATACTTCTCTTTGGCCATGTTTAATTTGAAAAGCCTTTTAGACCCTCACGTGGAGAAATCTAGCTGGCAGCAGACTGTGAGAGTAGAGGTCACCAGGGGTGAGGGGAGCATCAGGGCAACAGGTGGCAATCAAGAGTCCTCAGCAGAGAGATGACATTTCTCTCTTGATAGCCCCAAGGATTTGAAGGAGGGTTAGACCATTTCTTTCCTGTATGCATATTATCTAATGGTTTACAAGTTATGGTCATTATCCTATCGTTGTATGTTATAGTCTGTTTCTTTCATTCAGTTCATTCAAGAAAATATTGAACTAAATACTGTACTGGATGCAGGGGACATAATGATGCATGAGATAGACTGGGGGTTCTGTGAGGGTAGGAAGTATCTCTAACAGAGGAGACAGATCATTCCATCAGGAGTAAGTCAAGAATTCCATCAGGAATTAAGTAAATATGACATGTTCTACGACAGGGGCAGAATAGTGCAGTGGGGCACATAGCAGAGGCACTGACCTAGTCTTGGGGTGAGCTGGGATGTTTCAGCAGACCAGTGAGTGGTGAGTAGGAGCTGGCTGAGTGAAGCGTGCTTCAGAGGGAACTGTTGGTGGTGGATGGGCTAGCAGTTTGTATTGGAGAGAAAATGAACAAAACTCTTTCTTGGAACTGGCACATTCTGTGGAAGGCACTCAAGGATTCCTTGGCAAGATTGTGTGGCTCCTAAGAATAATGTTCGTGTGGGTTAATGATACTAGTTTCGTTGTTACTTGCTTTCACACAGGTAAATTTGTTAGTTACTAGGAACTTCCACTGCTCTGTGCTCAGTTCTATTTTAGGGCAGGAAATAGAATGTGAAATTGGCAGCTCCTATGACTTTATAAACACCTTATATGCATTATTTCAAAGAATGAGGGCAAATTTTTGCATGAAAGGCCGTATCTAGTTATCAGAGGAAAACAACTCTTTAGATTCACCAGCATTAGTGTTAACTTTATAGAATTTAAACACAGTAATGGGTATGTTCACATATATTCACAGTATTAGGACCCCAAAAGCAATTGATACCATTCTGTTATAGATTACTAACAGCAACACATTTTTTTCTTGTGTAATCCATGTAGAATTTTAAGGAAGCTGTTTTTAATTTTCCTAAGGTTACTAGACTATTCTTCCAAAGAGTTGATAGCTTGGTCAGGACCCTGTTGTAAATGGCACAACCTTGTTTGCTAAGGAAAATGTACAAAAGTGTGTTGACAGTGGATAATTACTCTGACCAGAGTTGCGAGGGATGATTGGGGCCCCTGGAAGAAGTGGCTGTGTTGCTGCCCAGCCCCAGCGGGAGTTGTTGCTGGGCTAAGTTCCCTGCACAACCTGTCTGTCTGCCCGCAGAACCTGGTTTAGCAAAACTGGTGCAAGAGGGAGAAACACTGCTCAAGGCAACTCTAGGAACATATGGCAGGCCCCACTGTGTCCAAACAGAGCAAGACAGGTCATCTAGAAGCTGGAGGGAAGGCAGTGACCAGTGGCCCAGATGGAAGTGGGTGGGTGTGGTGGGGAGCGCCTGCTAGTTCTCTTCAGCTGGTTTCAGGTCAGCAGGGAGGGAGGAGAGACTGGGCCATGTGGGACTCCACGGCAAAGTTGTTTTTCAGATGTAGGAACCCATCCCCCCTTTTGACCTATGTCAGAGGCTACCTCCTCCATGAACTTCTACTTTCCCATCCCCTAACAAGAAGTCATCTTGTCCCTCCCTAGACCCTCACTTACTGCTGCCCCGTTAGCTGGTCTGTCAGTGCTGTGCCCCCATGGCTCTGATCTTGAATCAGTCTCCTGCAGGGGTCTGCCCGTGGGGGAGCTGCCCCAGGCCAATTCAGAGCTGCCTTAGGTGGAGAATAAATGGATGGGAATACTCTTTTCTTTGTTTTGTTTTGTCTCATAAGGGAATAAAGCTAGTTTTTACTTGCCTTTCTTTCTGAAAATGTTGTTTGTGAATTCTGATAATTGTATAAGGTTATTGTCATAAATGAAAACTTTTTCTTTTCAGATAATATGGATACAAATGATCTTAAGCAGTTTTTTGAGACCAACTATTCTCAGATATATTTCATCTTCTATGAAAATTTTATAACACTGGAAAATAGTTTGAAATTAAAAGGTAAGCATTTCTACAAGTAATTTTTTTGTTGATATACAAGGCTTTTTTTTTTTAAACATTCAGGACGTTTTTGGAGGTTGTATGTGTCATGAGCCACAAGTGATGTGCTTTGAGCTTTCTTTCTTGCCAAGCCCTTAGCAGAGCTGTGAGATCACAGTGGTTGGCATCTCTGTTTCCCTTGAGCTTTCTTTTCTGTAGGGGTTAATTGAATGACAAGTGGGTAAAGGGAAAATAGAAGAAGAAACCCACAGAAGGCATGAGTTCAAAGGAATAATTTACTTAGAAAGAAAGAAAGAAAAGTAATATATGCACACTGTAAAAAAAAAAAACCTCAGACTCCACTAAAGGGTTTGAAATGAAAACTGAAGCATCTGTTTTGCTCAGACCTCCAGTCCTGCTGTGCAGAGGCAACCATTCTTAAGTTTCCTGTATTTCTTTCTATATATGTTATTAATGTATTATGTTTATATATGTTTATGGTTATGCCCGTATATATTTACATAAAATATTCTTAGAAAATCGAGCCAATAAGGTCACACTGCGCATTCTGCTCTGTATTTAGGTGGTAGGATAGTGGAGCCTGGGAAGCCAGACTGAGTTTGGATCCTGGCCCTACCCTTCTAGCTGTTTTTCCTTGGGCAAGTTACTTAACGTCTGTCTGAGTCAGCTCCCTCCTGTCCACGTTAGATGGGTCAACACGCCTCCTAGGATTTCAGGACAAAGTATGGCACGTAGTATGTCCTGAGTAAGTGTTAGCTGCCATCATCATCTTCTTTCATTTTCATATAGTCTGTTTTAGAAATCCTTACATGTTAGCACATTTATTTCTACCTCCGTTTTAAATAGTTACATAGTACTGCATTGAACAGAAATGCCATAATTCTGGATAACTGACTTCTGAGTGACTGGGTCAGAATCGCAGAGTTTTAAGGTTGGAAGGGGCTCAAGAGATTGGGTTGTCCACATTCCTTGTGTTCGAGTTGAGAGAACCATGTCCAGAGAGGTTATATTACTGGCCTAAGGCCACACAGATTATTTAATTGCATAGCCAGAATTGCAGCCAGGTTTCTTGATGCTAGGTTCAGAGCTCCTTCTTCTGTACCAGTGGTTCTCAAAACATGGTTTTTGCACTAGCAGCATGGGTATCACCAGGGTACTTGTTAATAAGCCTACTGAATCAGAAACTCTGCAGGTGGAACTCAGCAAGTTGTGTTTTAACAACCCTCCAGATGATGCTGATGTGCTCTCAAGTTTGAGAGCCACTGTTTTATTTCGTATTTCTCCCGTTAAAAAAAGCAACACTGATGAAAGGTTGACAGACACTGAAATGTCATCTGTGTTGTTCACCTACACATAAGAGTGTCTTATACCTGTGGCGTAGACCATATGTGCTTTAGCATCTTGAAGCATGCGTCTGGTGCTGGGGCCTCTCAGGGCCCAGCCTTTGGACTCTGCCTCTGGCAGCTCTGTGTCTCTCTTTTATTTAATCCTTCATTTATTCACCCATCCAGTATTTGAGTGCTGACAGTGTTCAAGGCACTGTGCTAAATTCCTATGAGGAATTCAGAGATGTATCAGATGCTGAACATGCTTCATGGGGTGGTGGTGGTGGTGCTTGTGGACTGGTCTAGGAATAAGCCATATGCATAGTTAACTATGAAACAAGTTAGAAAGTCAGATGTGCTATAGGAGAGATATAGACAAAGTACTGTGGTTGTTGAGGAGAGGGAGAGATGACTTGCTGTTGAATGTACAAGTGAGGCTTTGGGGACAAGGTGGCCTTGGGGATGGACCTTGAAGGAGACGTAGGATTTCAGGTGGAGGAGAATGGCACTGTGGGTGGAGGGTAGAAAATGAGCGAGAGCAGGGAGGCTGTCTTTAGGGCATGTTTGAGGAAAGCAATTTTTTTTTCTTGCAACATAAGATGTGTGAAAGAGATTTGCAGGAAATCAGATTATGCTAGACTTGCAAGGAGCCTTGAATTCCAGGCTAAAGAGTTTGGACTTTGTTCTTTAGGTGGTTAAAGCTCTTGAAAATATTTGCTACTAAGACAGTATCTTATAATGTGGTGAGTGACACAGAGGCAGGAAGACCAATTAGAAGGCTGATGCTGTCATCTATATGAGAGCTGGTGATGCCTAATCCAGGGAGGTGACAGTTAAGAGCAGAGAAAGTGTTGTTTCTCAGTGGGTGCACCATCCATGAGACTTGGGTATAAGGAAAAGGAATACAAGAGGGAGAAGTCAAAGATGCTTTCAGGATGTTGAGCCTGGTTTATAAGCTGCCATTACAGCAATGGGAACCCTGGTGGGGAGCCAGGTTTGGGAGGTAAGAGGATGAGTGCAGCTTTGGGCAGTCTGAGTTTGAGGTGCTTGTGGGACACCCAGGTGTAGGTTCTGGCTGGGCAGTAAAAATATAGGCTCTGACGTTTGGGAGAAGAGAGGTGCAATCAGGCTATTGCCAAGGGAGGAAGAATATGCAGAGAAAGAGAGTGATAGGGATTTGGGGTAATTCCTTCTTTTATTGGGCAGATAAAGAGGAAAGATAAAGGAGTAGTGTGTGGGGGGCGGTGGGAGGTGTCAGGAAAATGTTTTATCGCAGAAGCGCAGAGAGGAATTTCAAGGAATGAAAGATCAGCAGTACCTGATGATGAAGAAGTTGAGCCGCAGCAGGACTAGGGAATGACAGTGCATTGAGGAGGTCGTCCTTGACTACTGAAAGAAAAGTTCTAGTCAGTGGTGGAATCGGAAGCCAGACAGAGAGAAATGGAGGAACTGGATGGTGAGGAAGTGAAGGCTACAGGTGAGAGTACCCTCTTAGAAAGTTTGTTGGTGAAGACAGAGGATTGTATCTCAAGGAGTAGCTTGGTCACGGGAAGATTTTAAGCTGCATTTGCCTGTTCGCAGGTTGAGGAAAGGGAGATAACTGATGGTGCAATGTGTTGGGGGAAGTAGATTGAGACAGGGTCAAATATCAAGAGAAGAGAGAGAGGAGTGTATGGATGCTCTGACTGCTTCTGTAAAACCTGAGGCAAATGTCAAGCATGGAGGGGAAGGAATTTGGGGAGAGACACTGTGGTCTGGCATATAGCAGATGGCTCAGCGTCTTACAGAATGCTCCAGGCTCTGGTAGGTCATCAAGTCATATATGGGCATGTGCCCAGGATGCCAAGTGTTTTTTTTTTAATGAATTCCTCAGTTTTTTCCCCTGTGATTTATAAATTTATATAAATCTTGAACATAAGAAAAATCTTTTTGCCAAATTGGTAGATATTTCAAATATGAAATGATCTGATTTTTATTTTGCTTCCTAGCTTTGCTCCACTTGACTTTTTTTCACAAATGTGTGGAGTAGGAAAGTGTGATATTATGTGCAATGAAAATAGGAAAGAAAAAAATTTAAATCCCATATCTAAGAACAAAAAACCTCTACAACCTAAAAACCCTGTTTTTAAAGGGTCCTCCCTCTTCTCCCTTTTGCTCCCTCTATCCTTTTTGAAGTGTAGCTGTCCAAGACTGCATCAGTTTGTGCTGCATAACAAATTACGTATTGAACCATTCTAAAACTGAGTGCCTTAAAACAACAAACAGTTATTTAGCTTATGATTTTCGGGGTCTGTTGAGCAGTTCTTCTGGTTGAGCCTGGCTCTCGCCTCTGATGTCAGCTGGTGGCAGATGGCCTCATTCACGTCTTGTGGTTGACAAGCTATTGACTAGGGCACCTTAGTTCTCCAGGTGGCCCCTTTTTTCCAGCTAGCAGGCTATCTTGGAGTCCTTCCCGTGGTGGCCTTAGGGTTCTAAGCTCAGTAAGTGCATAAGGCTTTTCAGGCTTGAGTTTGTCTCACGTTTGCTAATGTCACCTTGGCCAGAACAAGTCACATGGCATCTCAGATTCAAGGCATGAAGAAATAGATATCTCTTGATGGGGACGGGGAGAAACTCTCTCCGTTTTTGCAATCTACCGCAAAGAATCATAATGAAGAGCCAATAAAAACAGGGTGAGATTTTGAAGTTTCTTGCTTTTAGTACATTCTGTGTTTTGATTGGAGTGCAGGGAAGAAAGTGTACTAAAACAAAAGAATAAAGGAAAACGTTTACTAGGAATAATGAAATGATCTTGTGATAACTTCAGCCTTCTAGTTATTCAGGCCAAAACCTGAGTTATTGTCTCTACCTTCATAATACATCCAGAATCACTGGTCTCTTCTCATTGCCTATGCTGGTACTGCTGAAGTTCCCATTATCCTCACCTGGATTATTGCAGTAGCCTCTGAACTAGTCTTCCCCCTTCCACATTGCACCCCCGCCCCCCCCACACACCCCCCGCCAAAGTCTCTTTAAAAGAGCAGCTAGAGTAATGCTTTAAAAATGTGAGTCAAATTACGACTCTCAGTGCTCCAAAACCTCAAATGGCTTTTCATTCCTGAGGTCGTTACTGTGGCCTCAGACCTTACCTCCCTGCCTTCCTTTACCCTACCCGTTCTCTAACCTCACCTGCTACAACTCTCCCCCTTTGCTTCAGACACAAGGGCCTTCTTGCTGTTTCCTGACTGTGCCAAATCTGCTCAGCCTTAGAGACTTTGCGCTGTCCATTCCCTCTGCCTGGAGCACATTTCCCCCAAATTTCCATATGGCTTGTTTACTTACCTCTTTTAGATCTTTGCTTAGTTGTCATCTTATCAGCAAGGTGTTCCCTGACTTCCCTAGTCAAAACTGCATACCACCCTTTTTGGCATTCCCCATGTGCTTTCCTTCTTGGTTTTCTCACTTATTCATTTATTGACTACCTCCTCCTGCCAGAATGTAAGCTTCCTCAGGGTAGGGATCGTTGTGTTTTGTTCTTTCTTGCGTCCTCAGGTTCTGGAATAATCCCCGACATAGAGACATTCTTTAGTACTTGTTCCGTGAATGAATGGTATCTACTTCATAGAGCTGTGGGAATTCAGTTAGATTAGGGGTCCACAACTTATAGCTCACTGCCTGTTTTTATAAATAAAGATTGCACACAGCTATCGCCATTCATTTATGTATTATTTATGGCTGCTTTTGCACTATAACAGCAGAATTGAGTGGTTGCAAGAGAGGCCTGCAAAGCCTAAAATATTTACTGTCTGACACTTTACAGAAAAAGTTTGCTGGTTCCTGAGTTAGATGATGGATGCCAGGCACTTAGCACAGTCCTTGGTACATAGAGACTGGACAGTAAGTGGTAACTGCTGCTGTAGGTGTTGTAGTTTTTATTATTGTCGTTATCAAAAGGACAGTGTGCAATTGCCTAAAGAGGTATACGACTTTTTATAATTATTACTGCTCTTTGCCTTTTCATATCACAAAGCTAGAACTTTTTCTTTGTTTTTGCTCTGTGTTCTATCGTAATTTGAGCTCATAAGTAACTAATTGAGAAACGAATAAATTACCTGCCACAGGTTGTTAACAACTTGGAAAACATGGAAGCTGTGTTTTAACAGCTAGCAAGGAGCAATTCTGCTAGACTGTGGACCCAGGCGGTCTGGCTCAATCATCCATCTGCATTCCTAACATGGGCTCCACGCTACCTTCCAGTATTTTTTGAATAAATGAATGTATGTTGAGGCTTAAATGTTTTAAGATACCTTTTAACGTAATTTTTAATATCCTAAAATTTACGTATTGTCATGATAACTAATTTTTTTTCCTATATTCCAGGGAATAATAAGTCACAAAGGGAGGAGCTGGACTCCATCCTCTTTCTTTTTGAAGTAAGTTTTTTAATTCATTTAGCTTTTAAGATTCTTGTAAAAAATGTGGTATTTTAAAACTTTAACGTGCAGACAAATAAAAATGATGGACATGTATTTCCTTCTGTCTTCCTTTCTTCCTTCCACTTTTACAAACAATGCTGCAAAGAATGTTCTTGTGATTTTTTTTCTTTTGTAAATGTGGGAGAATTTTTCCCATATGGGTGCCTAGATTGAAATTATTAGATGGAAACATATGCACATTTTAAATACTGATATTGCCAAATTGTTCTTCAAAAAGGTCATGTAAACTTATATGTAAGTCTTATATCAATTTCCCTAACCAACAGTGGAGATGATTTGTCTTTTTAATATATGCAAACTGATCTATAAAAACTCACTGTTTTTAATAAATATTTTCTGACTACCAGTGAGGTTGCGATCTTTTTATGTGTTTATGTGTCTGTGTGTGTTGATCTTATGTTCTCTTCAAAGTTAGAATAGTGTTTGGGTGTGGTTTTTGATCCATTAAGCTTAAAGTCTCTCTTGTCCAAATGTATTAGACAAGTGGCTAGATTACTGATGCCTTTAGAACTACACTAGAACCAAATTATAGGTTCCGAAAGTTAATTGTTGGTTATCTAGAAATTATTCATGGTTTGAAGAGACATGTACTTAGGTTGATGTGGGATCAACTTTATGACTATGAAGGAAAGGCCTAATGTGTATTTGCTGTAGAGCTGGCTGGAGGGGGAGGCCAGGGGAGGAAAGCTCTCCATGGGCTTTCTGGGTTTGTGGAATAAAACACGTATGGAAATCTCCTGCTCAGGACTTGGCTCATATCTGGCGCTCAATAACTGTGGTTCCCCTTTCTCTCCTTTGAGGACTGTACTCCTTCACCAGAATAACAGACATTGATTCACTGCATATTTTGTGGTAGTTATTGTGTTTCCTGTGGTAACCCTCCTGTGCAAAGGAGTTATTTTTAACAGGAGCTTTAATTAAGTCTATCACTTAAATATGTATCTACTGACCACCATTTGTTTAAACTATTCTATTAATTTATTTTATTTATGTAATAGTTGATGCATTTACTAAGGAATCTATAACACATGTGCAGGTTTTGAAGCATGACGATAAAGCCCATACTCTTGACATCCTCCCCCTCCCTTATTTTAAGAACTAAAAGCTACTTAGGTGCTCCTCTTTGATCCTATCCTTTCTCTCCTCTGAAGCAACCAGTCCCCTGCATTTTGTCATCCCCTTTCTTTTAAAAAATGTTTTATCCATGTTTTTGAATTTAGCTCTAGTTCATTCATTCCATTCCTACTCCTGGATTAAGTGAATATATATATTTATTCAATTCCAACTTTTTGTCTATAGATTTTTTTGGTTTGCTTGGTAGACAGTGAGATTGTCGATGAATAATGTCAGGCTTGCCAGTTAGTCTGTTTTCCTTGTCTTACTGCACTGGCACTCGCTCAGCCCTGCAGTACATTGATAAATAGAAATGATAAAGGTGGTCATCCTGTTTCTGATTTAAAGAGAGTTTTGTTAATGTTTTGTCATTAAAAATAATGTTTTCTGTAAATTTTTGGTAAACACTCTTTATCAGATTAATGAAGTTTGTTTCTATTCCTAGTTTGGTAAGATTTATAAAAAATCATAGGTGGGTGTTGAAATTTTTGAATTTTTTTTTTTTTTTTGTGAGGAAGATCAGCCCTGAGCTAACATCCATGCCAATCCTCCTCTTTTTGCTGAGGAAGACCAGCCCTAAGCTAACATCTATAGCCAATCCTCCTCCTTTTTTTTCCCTTTTTCTCCTCAAAGCCCCAGTAGATAGTTGTATGTCATAGTTGCACATCCTTCTAGTTGCTGTATGTGGGACGCCGCCTCAGCATGGCCCGACAAGCAGCGCGTCGGTGCGTGCCCGGGATCCGAACCCAGGCCACCAGTAGCGGAGCGTGCGCGCCCAAACGCTAAGCCACAGGGCCGGCCCTGTCGAATTTTTTCTGCGTTGATTGAGATAACCATATGACGATTCTTCATGAATATAAATGTAGTGAATTACAGTTCTGAATTTTTGGAGAGGCTAATATTTTGTTTGCATTTTTGGATCTATGTTCACAACTGAGGTTGGCCTAAATTTCCCTTCCTTGTACTGTTTTTGAATGATCCTGTTAGAAAGGTTATAGAACCTGTTGTGAAGTGTTTCTTCTTTTTCTGTTGAGTATAATAGTTTGTATAAGATTGGAATGATCTGTTCCTGGAATGTTTTTTAGTCTTTCCTATAAAAACCATCTGAAACTGGTACTTTTTTGTTTTTGTTTTTTTTAATGGGAAGATTTTAACCACTCATCCATTTTCGTCAATAGTTTTAGGATTATTTGGATTTTCTATTTTTTCTTGATTTAGGTTTGGTAAATTATATGTTTTTCTAAGATTTTGAAGAATTCTAAGAATTTGTTCTTATCACCAAAATTTTAAAACTTATTAGCATGACCCTTCTTTTCAGGGTCATAATCCCTTCAGTTTTATCTGCTCTAAATTAATCTTCACTGTCTTCAAACAGTTATTTATATTAGACACATTATTAGTAGTAGTAGTAATGGTAGTAAAAGTATTTGTGTCACACTTTACAGATTTTTTTTTACTATCTTCTAGTTGCCATTGTAGGAGTTTTAAACTCTGTTCTCAGTCTCACTGTTGTTCCTTTAAACACTTTTTCTCTCTGGCTTCTCTTAAAATCTTTTTCTTAGTCTTTGGTGTTCTGCAGTTTCACCACAAAATGTCTAGTTGAAGATTTCTTATCTTGCTTGGTATATATATGCTTCCTACATTTCTGGATTCAGATCTTTTATCATTTCTGTGAAATTCCCAGCTGCTATCTTCTCAAATACTGACTCTTCTATTCTTTCTGGCCGTACTTTCTAGGATTCCTATTTAAATTTCTTGATCTATCCTCATATCTCTTAAGCTTGCTTTTATCCTCTCTTCCCCTATCTCCTTGTGTTACATTCTGGGAAATTTCTTCAGTTCTTTCTTCCAGGGCACTAACTCTCTTCATTTGGGTCTAATCTGCTGCTTAACCATTCTATTGAGTTTTAAATTTCAGTGATTTTTTTTTCATGTTTTAACTTCTTTTTGTTTAGTATTCACATGTGGCTGGTTGCTTGTGATAGTCTCTTGATCCTTGTTCATTTTTAGACATCTTTTATTTTCTTAAACATTTAACAAATAGTATTTCATATTCTGTATCTGATCATTCTAATATCTGAAGTCTTTCATTGTCTATATCTGTTGGTTATTTCTGCTGTCTCTCACAATGGCTTCTTTTCTTGCAAGTTTTGTGATATGATTTTGAGATCAAATTTAATTGAACAGAGATTTAATCTGTTTTAATCTTGGAGGGTTTGTCTTTGCTTTTGCCAGCAGTCTGAGAGTGCTCTTGATTGGGATCACTTTGGCTCCATTTGAGGATCCTGGTTATTAATGGAATCTCAGATTCGGTTCCTCAAACATACCATGTGGTAGGGACTGGGGTCTGGAGGGCACAAACATCTGTAGATCCTACTGTGGAATTGGCATTAGCTCTCTGGCACCCTGCATTGTTTTTCTTCAGCTTGTTGCTCACAGATCAGGTTTTGGCTTACTTTTCATCTGCCACCTTTATTCTTCTTTCCTACTTCCTCTCCTACTATTTTTTGAGTCTCTTGTAGGGAGGGTGGTTGTTACTGATACATTACCATCTACAGAGAATTAGTTGCCTATATAATAGAACAAATATATATTGTTCAAAGCTTCCTAAAACTTTCATTTTGCATAGTAAATATGAATGAATAATGAACTTGCATTACTTTTGTTTATGCTTATGTTCTCTCTCTGTCTCTGGCTTTAGAAGGTAGGTTGTAATTTGTATGCTTCATTCCGAGAATTAAGTAACTTCATTGCTACTTTCTACAACTTAGTCCCATATAAAGAGATGGTTTATGAGGATTTGGAGGTAGATACTTATCAAGGTGTAAATAATTAAGAAAGGCTTCCTTTAGAAGAGGTGGAATTATTAAGACAACCTAAATCATAGAAGGGATACTGTGTAACGATAGTCTGTAAATAAGAAATAGATTGGAAGAAAGCATAGAGGTAAGAGAGTTCAGAAGTCATAAAAAAAGAGTAGGTAAGGAGACCTACTGCCTGCCTTTGTAAGTCAGGGGCAATCTAGAAGGGAGCCTTTTAAAAGGAAACAGTAGTTTTTAGATGTAGTGAGTTACTGGTGATGTGACAGTGCTCTGATAAAGCAGATGATGTGCAATTGAGGCTGCGGCCCGGCCCAAGTCACTGTTTCAGGCAGCGAGCAGACCTTTCCATCTGCCTTTATCTCCAGTGAGAGCACTTGTACACTTTGGAAGTTGACGTCCAGCCTGCTTTGTCTATAGCTTCAAATTTGTGTGCTGCTTAGAGTTTCTGTTGTTGCTGGTTCGTGGAGATGTTTATCACTCTTTAATTTTACTCTTCTTTTAAAAGCATATTTCATCTATCATTGCTGTGTGTTTCAAATGGGAGTGTGGGGATGATGGTGTGGGACCCCATAAAATGAATTTACATTGCCACCTTGGCCAGAATGTAAATGTTTTACGTGGCCATCCAGTTTAGTCCTTTCCTTCTGAAGTAGATTCTGTCTTCCCAATTTTTATTGATGAAGGGATGGGGCCTTTGTCGTGTTAGGTGATTTGTCCAAGATTGCACATTATCAAATGATAGAGACTGTGACTCTAGAATCCATTTCCTTAACTCTATGCCATGCTGCCTACCACTTAGGAGTCTTGATATTCTCCTGCTTCTCAAGCTGTATTCCACAGGCCGTCTATACCAATGTGTACCTATTCTTGTACACTTCATTCATTTATTAGACACATTTATTGAGTACCTACTCTGTGTTAGGCATACTTTTAGGTGCTGGAGATATGGCAGTGCGCAAGACAGACAGAACCGCTTGCCCTCAGGGAGCATATGTTACATTT